ACCGGGGTCGTTCTGTTTATTCACTTATTAATATACACTGGTCATTGTCCACTTTGCGAATGCAAAATAAAACTCTCCGTAATACGTTGGCCAACAGAATCTCAGTTTTATTGCAAGAGTACAACATTATTCAAATTATTCATATTCAAGGAAAGAAAAATCGTCTACCGGACTATTTATCTCGCCATCCAATTGAATTCAATGATCCGGATCTCATTGATCCAGATTATGATCTTCAAGTTAAACCACGATCTTCTTCGTCTATTATTTCTGTTGGTAGAAGGTCACAGTCTTTAAAGGTGTCAGTGACCGGAGCAGTCACAATAAGATTACAAACAAAAAGAGCTCAACAATTGCAAATTACTCAGACATCTACAAGTGATTTCACTCTTAATCAAGATTCCATCGATTGAAATTCTCTGTCTGGTTAGAAATTAAGTTGTAATAAATTTGATATCAAACAGCTGAAAATCGAACAAGATAAAGATTTTCATATTAAATTAAAAATAGAATAATTGAAGAAAGATCCCAAGAAAATCGCTTTTGTCCTCAAAGATGATATTTTTTATAAGCTCGCTCAGCCTAAATATGCTATACGTAAAAAACTTGTTCCATATATACCACCATCAATTATTCGACTTTTACTTGAAGCGTCCCATAATGATCCGCTTTCTGGTCATTCACCGTACCTTAGAAAAATTAAAACATCAGTTCTGGTGGCCAGACATGAAATCTTCTGTTGAAAAATATATCAAATCTTAATCTAAACGTCAACAATTTAACATATCCAGACAAAAAACAACAGGATATTAGAAACCAATATCACCATCAGATGGACCATTCCAGATCATTGCAATTGATTACGTAGGACCGTTAAATGTTGTCCTTCTGAAAATCGTTATGTTCTTGTCATCACAGATTTATTTAGCACATGGGTCACTGCCGTAGCTCTTCCGAGCTGCACGGCTGTAGTAACCGCAGAAGCGATTTTCAAACATTACAATTGTCATTATGGAGTTTCCGTCACTATTTCATCTGATAATGGCTCACATATTCGTAATCAACTACTTCAAGCTTTAGAGCACAAAATCGGGATTCATCATATATTTTCTTTGGCATATCATCCACGATCCAATGGAATGATACAGAGATTTAACGCCGCCTTTATTCCACAAATAGCCAAATTACTAGACTCGGAATATAACAACTGGGACGAATTTTTAGACCCGGTGATATTCGCCTATAACACTGGCGTTCATTCGTCCACAAAGTTCTCACCATATGAGCTACAATTTGGGAGACAACCGCGTTTGTCGATCGATCCATCGCCAACTCAACTAAATTTACCAAATCCATCTGATTACTATGTTCAGTTGATTAAATCTCTTAAACCATATCAATTATATTCACGTGAAAATACGATCAAACAACAAAATCTTTCCGCCATATGGTACAATAAAAGTAGAAAAGACAAACATTATATTATAGGGGATTATGTTTTAACAAGGGTCCGAGGAAATCGTTTGAAATTAGATCCACGATTTCATCCCACTCCAATGATTATAATCAAAGAAAAACATCCAGCATAGTTTGTAAAAGATCCAGAATCAAATGAAACATCACATATTCACGTAAATGTTCGTCCCATTTTGGAGAGTAATTTAACACCTTAACATTCATTTAAACATTTTTCATTTTTAACACGATCTTCCTCAGTCATTCTATTCATTTAGTTATGAACGTGTTTTTAAACTCTAAATTAATTTGCTGACGAGTGAAACGCTTTAGATTTGAAAACACAGTTTGAATTTGTGTGCAGGCTCTTGCTACTCTTTAGCAAGATCCGGATAATAAGGAAGGATTTAGCTCTTTTAAAGCAAGATCACATTTACTCTACGTCTTTACTTTAACACATTGCACGCTGTCCACTGATATATCAGTAGCCCAATTTGTTCTATTCAATGATGTCGTCAGCGGGAAATGGGTTAAATTATTATTCTTTTTTTATTTATTTTCGAACATAGGATATGCCGTACAACCATATATTACAACCACAATCGTTCCATGATCGTCTACCACAAGCACCAAAACATTTAAATGCAAAACAAGCAGGAAATCGGAGAAGAGCAAATAATAAATCTCGTTATAATGAAGAATTAAGAAATTCCAAGGATCCATTTCACTGTCAACCCTGGTCATTTGATATTACATTTGTCAATTACACAACTACAGATGAAACATTAGCTTATTTATTAGAAACCACCAAAAATGCTGCATCGTTCAATGGCTAAAGGGTCGTCGATTACGAGAGGTATCTATTTGGTCGAACGGTTACGGAAATGGGCGCAATTTAAACTAACAAATGATACGATATTCGTTACGATCGATGTGTCAGATTTATATACAATGGTCCCACAAAAGGGTGCATTAGAAGCAATTAGAAAGATGTTAGAGATGCTCAAAGTAAAACAGATTGTAGGCATTCCGATCGAAACGATCTTGGAAATGACACAGTTTGTACTTCAGAACAATTATTTTCTCTACGATGGAGTTTATTATCGGCAGAGTCGGGGTGGAGCAATGGGTTCCCCATTCACACTCACCTTTGCCAATGTATACATGTATTTCTTTGAAAGGCCGATGCAGAAAACTATAGTCGAAAAAAGCCCTATATTACCAATATATTGATGATACAATCATAGCATGTCGTGCCACTGAAACTCAAATTCAGGCTTGGCTATTACACTGGAATCGAATGGACAAGAAAAACATCAAATTAACTGGTACCATTGGTAAAGAAGTTGAATTCTTAGACG